GCATTCAAAAATATACATTGAATGAATAAATTTATATAGCCTCTCTCTAATCCCAGAGACGGAGTATATTATTTTGACTCTTTCCTGTATATTATTTTGACTCTTTGTATATACCACTCTTTTAGTCCTTCTTATCCTGAAATATTTTTATTTATATATTTGTCTTTCCCATTACTGAGCTCGATCTTCTCAGATATTTTCTATGTGCTTATTTGCAGAAACTAATATAGTTTCTGTCATGTAGCAAAAGGTCAAATTATGCAAACTTAATGAATGTTCAAAGGTGCTGTATACACATAGTTCTCTGACACCAAATCACTAGTTCTGCAAATCAGTTATTGTTTAAAAAGCCTATTCTCAACCCCCACTCTAAATACTTATATACACACACTCCACTAATTGAGATAATTTAAAACTATTTTTCACATATTTGCTTAATTAGCTTGCAGTGACCTCTGCAAAAACACTGGCCTCTGATGATTATAAGAGGTAGTTTTTTGGCATGGACACCAAAGCATCAAAGAGTCAGCTGGAACTAAGGAAAGCAATAACACAACTGGTTTTAATTACTCATGACAGGCAGCCGAATACATCTGACACAGGCCTTCTCCCCAATACATCACTCAAAACAGACCAGTTACAGGAAATGGGAGAAAGAAAAAAAACAAAAACAAGATGGGGCCAAAATGTGTCCATAATACAAAGCAGATCATCTTTCACATGGATGACCTTATTCATTTTGTTTTATATTTTTATGGTGGTCCCAAATCTATAAAATTGCTGACCCCCTAAGATTTGGCATTATTTGTGCTGGTGCTAAGGAGTAGTGGCTCAATTCTCAGAAGAGAAGGTAGGTAAAGATTGCAACCATTCATGAATTCCTGTATAAACCAAGGGGTCCTCCAAAGTTTATCTAGAATTAAAGGCATGTTTGCAATTTATTCATCTGTGAAGTCAGGTGAGCACCTTCTACTTCTATTCAGCATTCACTGAAGGATTAACTTCATCTATAACTTAATTAGTTTCTTCTGACTTGTTGCTTAGCAGGAAACAGGTGAGGATTAGGAGTTGCTTTGTTATAACCTACTCACAATTTTAACATATCTTTCTTATCAAGTGCATACACTCACCTAATGAAACTATGGGCTTTGGGTGGCCATATCCTTGGGTTGGCTCCTATTTAAAA